TGGGCCATCCAACACTAATAGAAAGTACCAGCTGTTTCTGAGATTAGCACCGTTCAACTAAATAAACAAACACTTTAGTTTTACAATAATTTAATAACAATATTGTACCACATTCACACAACGCCATCTAATACCAAACTAAGCAGAGCTTGTACTATGGCTACTAGACAACTGATATTTATTTATTTATTTATATGACACACAATACAACTATTTTTACAGGTTTTGTACCTAATACAATAGTGTAGCCATTTCTTGTTACAAACATATATAGTAGTAAATAACACTTATTTTATAAACAATTTTAGCAACCTCATTCATCACTACAGCCAGACACACAGTCACACTCATATACTTCCAATCACACCCATCCCAGATAAACCACTCCCAGACACGGCACATACTGACCCGCCCATCACACAACAGCTCACGTATTACAAGTCCATGTTATAGCAAATAACATTCAACGCTACTCTTGTGAATTCACTCAGAGCACAACAGAATATGTCTATCTCGCTGGCTATTAGGTTTAATGTGCGAAGTGCGCGCGTCAGTGGCGCCTGGCTTAGAAGATTGGTACGGGCGCGCGGCTCCGCCAGCAATCTCGGTTGTCGCCGTCGCCACACATACCCGTCTGGCACACAAAAATACACCTGTCCCAATAGGTCAGCATTATGTACTTTCCCCCTAATTATTTTGATGATATATGTGGTGAGTGCGAGTTCCCTTCTAGCACTCAGAGTGTTGTATCCCACCATTCCCACTATAAATAAAGTTGGGTACATTAATGGGTAGAGTGGGTATACACCATACCGACGCAAATATAGATATCTCAAAAATTTGTTATGTACCCGCTCCACCATGAACCTATATTTAGATTCATGAGGAGCCCAGATAACTGCGTTACATTCTAGCTGACTTCGGACCAAAGCATTATACAGGGCAATAACCGCGCTAATATTTGTGAACTGTTGAACCGTGCGAAGGATAAAACCTAGGTTCCTGTATGCTTTCTTACAAATTTTGGTGATGTGATTGCGAAACGTCAGCGCAGTGGTAAAATTTACCCCTAGGTCCCTAACTTCTGTGACCCGTGTGAGCGGCGTTCCGTCTATATTATAATTATGTACCACAGGGCTGCGTGCGCGAGAGAAACTAATTATCACGCATTTTGAGGTGTTAAATTGTAAGAGGTTATCTCTACTCCAATCCACTACCCTGTCTATGTCCCTTTGCAACCTTTTACAGTCATCCACGCTTTTTACAGCAAAAGAGAGCTTGAGATCATCAGCAAACAGTAAGCATCTAGCGTCTTGAACCACTCTTGTCAAGTCATTTATCATAATTATAAACAATAGTGGTCCGAGATTACTGCCCTGACTCACGCCAGATCGCGTAAAATATGGTTCTGAGACTTGTCCCGCGTATTCTACATACTGCTGCCGATCGCTCATATAGCTGGCAAAAAAACTAAGCAAGTGGGGGGTAAACCCAACCACGGCTAACTTTTTAAGCAGGACGTCATTGTTTACCAGATCAAATGCCTTTTTAAAATCAAAGTAAGCCGAATCAATCTGTCCCCCACTGTCCACTGTTGGCACAATATGAGCCATGTAGCTGAGAAGGTTACTAGTGGTGCTTCTCGCTGGCCGAAAACCATGTTGGGCATCGGCAAGTTGTGCACTTACCTGATGAAATATGCTTGTGTGGATTGCAGCTTCAAACACCTTTGCCGGAGTCGATAGTACTGCAACCGGCCTGTATCCATCCACTTGTGCCCCCAGACTTCCCTTCGGCACGGGCACCACGCGGGTTACTTTCCATCGCTCCGGAAACACTGCCGCCTTTAGGCACTTATTATAAATATCCAAAAGCGGCTCCGCTAAAACCGACCGACAATCCTTAAATATATAAGGCGGAATGCAGTCTGGTCCTGTGGATCTTTTAGCTTTAAGTTGTTGGAGGGCGCGAATGACGTCATTCAGTTGCAATTGGTCAATGTGAACGCGAGCCGAGCTATTGTCGCTGCCCGCTTGTGATATAGCTGCGCTCACATTTAACTCGGCCCGCTCCGCACTATAAACCGAATAAAAATAATCAGCGAAATCTTTAGCACATTGGTCATCCGTTAACGCTTCCCCATTTTTAAATATCTGTTGGGGAACTCTACTTCCTCGCATAGATTTAGCGTAATTCCAAAAGGATTTTGGATCTTTATGTAATTCATTTTGAATACGATGTTGGTACTGTTTACGTGCATATGCGATAGTTTTTTTCACCTTAGCTCTGCACTGAGCGAACGTTTCGTAATCACAATGTAAGCCACTCTTTTTATACTGTTTATGAAGAACAGCTTTTAGTCGTATGTCGCGAATAATTTCAATAGTGTACCACTCAGGGTAAACATACCTCGAGTTTACACGACTTCGCTTTTTTTTCGGAACACAGCCATCTATAACTGAGTTAATGGTGTTGTAAAAAAAGTTTAAACTATTTTCTAAGTCTAACCCGTACATTGGCGTCCAATCTACTATCGCTATTAAATAATATAATAACCTAAAATCCGCTTTATTAAAATTCCAACCTACATACTTGGTGGTGCTAGGTGCAGCTGAGCCGGCCAGCCGGCGCTGGCATATGCTGCGTGGGCGTCTCACTGTTACGTCGAGCGGCGGGTGGTGTGCGTCCACCGGCACTAGCGGCGCCTCTGCCGCGCGCACAATCACACTTCCCTCTTGCACTAACGTACTTAGCACTAAGTCTAACTGACGATCGTTGCAGTTACCTACGCCGTTACTCTGAGTAAATCCACAATATGTCACAAAGTATTCATAATAATTATTCACGTATGATGAACCAGAATATAAATTGAAATCGCCCATAACAATTACATCTTTATATTTATCACAGTACTGTTCGATAATCCTAAACAATAACAAGTAATTATTCTCACTACTGTTAGGTGGTATGTAGACAACACACAATAAAAATAAAAATTTGTTTTGTTGGTAAACGGCAGCACAAACCAGTTCAAACACATGTGTATTTATGTTAATATCGACCGGTATCGACACCCGCCGCAGCTCGAAACGCTGTGTGGCCACGAGACACGCGCCGCCATGCTTACGTCCATCCGCTCGGTCGCATCGTATAATACTGTATCCGTGTGGAATAAACTCTGCGTCGTGAACAGACTCATTCAAACCTGTTTTTGTGATTGCGTACATATCTGCATTTGAGACTTCAACGGCATTATAAAATTCATGTAATTTTGTTCGCAGGCCTCTTGCGTTTTGGTATATTATTTCTATAGATTTACTATAGGTTTTTTGGTCTATTTGATTTTCGAAACCAAACCCACTCCGCGAACTCAATGTTTACAGCCCAGTTTTCAGATACGCATAATTTATCATATTTACTTTCTGGCACCCCTATAATAAAAGAGGCATAGTCCCTTTCTGTTTTGTGCTTTATTTGTTCTACTTTAACTGGTACTTCCTCTTTGTATATGACTTTCTTCACATACTCTTCTAGTTTTTCTGCAGTTGTTTCTTTTTGAAGGCGCCAGACATGCAAATATTTCTTTTTCTCGATTCCGCGAATATCAAATGCGCCTATACTTCCTCCTTTTCTTACTTCACTAGATAGATATCGAGATTTTTTTCTATTTACCACTGTCCATTTATCTTCATTTTGTATTTCCACATTTCCCTTTTCGATACCAATAGTGGATATTTCACTATTTCTCGCCTTATTTATTTCCTGCGTCTTACCAATCATAGGTACGCTCGTAGATTTTGTGGCCACACAATCCTTTTGTGGGACAATATTGCGAGGTACCTTCATTTGATTTTCTTTAATTACCTTCGCGTATGAGTGCGATGGTTCTTTATACTCTTCCTCTTTGTTATATGCATTTTCTTTTTGGTTTTTCATATTAAGATCTGCCTCTAGCTGTTCATTTCTTTCTATTAGAGCTCTAATTTTGCTTTCTAATATGTCCACTTTATTTGCCTTTTCTTGCACTACCTTCAATATTTTTTTCACTTCACGTAATTCTGTTTCTGTAGTTATAAATCTATTTGTCAGAGTTGTGTACTCCTTCATTTGTTCATCCATTCTAGATTTCATCTCTAACCGAAACTCCTGCAGCTCTTCTATAAGCTGTTTCTCGTAATCCATAGTAGTTACCGCTTTCGTTTTGCGACGACTACCTCGTTCCATATTGACATAACTGCTCGGTGTGAATGCTACGTTGCCTCGGACCGGTGTATCTGAGTTATCCGTCTTAGGAATAGTGCAATTACATTCTGGACACACCCAATTTTTTTTGTACATCAGTGTAAACGCCTCAAACTTCTCGTTTGTCAAGGCAAGACACTTTAAATGATATGGTTTCTCACATTTTTCTTGCGAACACTTCATATACTCAGTTTCACATATTTCGGCATCGCAGCCACCACACTTCTCACTCATTTAGTTAGTTCAATTTGATTTTTATTTTATTAAATTCAAAGCAAACAACAAACACGTCCACACACGTCCAATATGATAAATACATGTATACGTTTTTGTAAATACATACATATTATACATAGAAATACTCAGACCAAATCAAACATTAAATGTTTATGCACACAGATGTTTGAATTGAGCGGGAACCCGTGACCTCTGAAATAGCAGTGCGTTACATAAACCACTACAGAATGAATAGAGGTGGTGGCACTCCGTATTCTTAATCCGTCATCACACGGATAGTAAGTATAAGTAAGGTTATCGGAGCCCAAACCTTTCCTTTAGTACCACCATCTGCTTCAGGAGGAGGGACTAGGAAAACGCACTGGTGGCTATTGATTTGCAAGTGTCTACGGGCGGCGGTAAGGAGTAACTTACTTAGGTGACCCGTCTGCTCAATTGCCCCTCCCCCCCTTCACCCTACAGTTTGCTGGTTTGCTCCAGTATAAAATTAAAAAAAAACTATAAGTTCTCTGTTCACTCACCATGGTCTATAAACGATTGTTGCTTCTCCAACCGGCCCCGCCGCTTCTCATTGTTCTGATCTAATTGCTGTAACAAAACATATTATTTATTAACTATTGCCCTCGGCGTCGCTCGCGTAAACGTCGGTTCCCCATACACACTTCCACCCCTATTTTCACCCCCAAAACCTATGTCCTTACCCAGGACTCGGACTATCTCTTCAGGTTCAGGGGTTTAAGCGTGAAGAGGTAACAGACAGACAGACAGAGAGAGAGAGATAGACAGACACACTTTCGCATTTATAATATTAATATGGATTGATAAGTTAACAAGCTACCTTCTGTTCATCCTGTGAGGTTGCGATCCCAGGGTCGTAAAGAACCGGGGGGTTGGCTGGGTCGAAGTGGTACACACTGCCGTCAGAGTTAGTTAGAGGTCGTCCGGTCTGGAAAGAAAAGAAATGACCTAACATCTTGACTCCAAGGGCATCAATGCGCTTGTGACTTTTGAGTTGCGGGTGTCCATGGGAGGCGGTGGTTGCTTACCATCGGGTAACCCGTTTGCTCGTTTACCCCATTATACCATAAAAAAACTAACTTAGTAAAACGCTAGTTGACTTTCTAATCAAATCCGTGTTACTTTAATAAACGTCAAAACAGAATGTCGCGTAAAACATTTATTTGACAGCATGGTATGACGTCACAATTACAAGTCTTGTGACGCACATCATGGTATCAAATCATTATTTTTTAACGACAAGACTCTTACTGCACATGCAGTTTCCCTCCAACTCCAATACGTTTGATTCAGGAAAAGTGCCAATGACAGAACTTGTTCCAGCGAACGTTCAAACCCAAACCTATCGCGTAAATATAAAAAGAACAGGAGATATATTGAAATATAGGAAATGTACAAAATGAATTTTGGTTAATTTTCAGTGTCCAATTCAAGTCCAATTGTCCGTGCGGTGACAGATTAAGAATACACAGTGTCACCACCCCTGTTCATCCCGTGGGTGTCGCAAGAGCCGACTAAGGGAGTAAACTACGCAGGACAACAGCACTGCAGAGAGAAGAAAAACTTGAAACAAACCCTATACTATATACCCTATACTAGGCCTATGTCCAACAGTGAACTAGTAACGAATGATGAACTATTTCAAATTGAAAGAATAAAATATACCTGAGGATGTATAACAACGGCTCCAGCAGGGACAGAAGACATGTCAGTGACGGCCCACACGACGGCCGCGCCCTCCAGGGGTGGGCCCACGCCTGGGCCTGCGCCTTGGTTCATGTTGCCACTCGGCTCTGGGCTGGCACCACCTGAGATTACCAATACATACTTGTGTCTGAAATCATATCTTTGTGTTTTAACACGAGCCGTCATCCCGCCGGGGTTTGCGGCGGGGCGGTGTGTGGGAATCGCGTGAGATAGGAGGGGTCCGGGAACAGCTAATATTAAGTCATCCGGACTATTCACCATAGCTACATGAGGGTCGACACAATGCGTAACATTGTCCAGTGTTTTGGCTAATTTCTTAACGTCTGACTGACAGTAACCCTCTTAGGGAATATATAAGTTTTCAGAAGAGACAAACAAGAAGGTAAATTATAGGGATATAGGGTTGTAGGGATATATAATTATAGGGATAGGGGCAAGAGAAATAGAGTAAAGGATGGAAAAGGGTACTAAGACTGCAGGAGATGAAAGAAGCCACAATACCCGTGTGTTAGTTCTGTAATTAGAAAATGACGTTTAACTGACAAAATAGGTCACGTTAAGCATAAGCATTTTTTTTACACATACTTATATTTCACTAAAGGCATACATATTATAGATAAATTATAACTAATTAATGGATTGATAAATAATAATAATTAATACCTAATAATTGAGCTGGATGCGAGAAGCCCAAAATCGATCTAAGTGGCGTGCAATGGGAGAGGCCTATGTCCAGCAGTGGACTGCGATAGGCTCATGATGAATGATGAATGCATGGGGGGGGGGTCCGACCCCACGACCTCTTAGTTAGCAGTCACGATCATTAACCGCTGGACTGTGGTCATTTCATTTGTATTATGTTTAAAAATGTATCTAAGCATATGTGTATTCGTGTTGTAAAATATGTGTGCGTGTGCGTGCTTGCTTGCGTGCGTGCGCGTGCGCGTGTGTGTGTGTAATCACACAATCAGAGACGTGGTCGTTCACAATGGATGGTGACCCAAAGAGCAAGAACCAAGGTGACTGACATTGTCCGGCGAGTCGTCAAACTTAAATTGCAGTATGCAGGACTATGCTCTCAGATAAGACCCTTGGGACCAAATAGTTCTGGAATGGAGACCATGGACCGGAAGACGGAGCGTGAATAGGCCCCTTGCAAGGTGGTTCGAAGACCTGGTGAAGGTCACGAGAAGTTGTTGGATGCGGGCAGCACAAGACCGGTCGTGTGGAGAGCCTTGGAGGAGGTTTATGTCCAGTAGTGGACAGTGGAGAAGTCTATAAAATCTATAAATGACAAAAATAAATTGTCATATGTGAGGATTGAACCCACAATCAAACAAGTGGAACAAAAATATACCTGTAGGAGATGGAGTTATCGAGTCAGTGCTGCGTAGACTGAGGGTCTTGTACCCGGAGCTGGATGGTGAGAGTCTCCAGCTGCTCGATGCTAGGTCACCTGTCGAATACACATAACAATATAGAAGAATAGTGTTGTTAACCCATTCCACGGGTCGGTTAGTGTAAGTGTTTAGTAATACTGACTGCTAAGGTACAGGTCGTGGGTTCAATTACCATCGAGGACAAATAATTGTGCGATGGGTACGATCATTTGTTCTGTCGAGTGTAGTTTATCTATACAAATAAATAAAATTGGAGTGTCTGTTTGTAATAATAAAATAACCGCTTTTTACTAAATGCATATGTATGTTTACACGGTACATATGCCAAAATAACATTTTTTACAATGTTTGTCTGTCTGTCTGTTTGTTCCGGGTAATCTCTGGAACGGGTGGACCGATTTCAACGGGACTTTCACTAGCAGATAGCTGATGACATAAGGAGTAACTTAGGCTACTTTTTTTTAGACTAGCTTCGCCCCGCGGCGTTGCCCGCGGTTATAACAACAAACGCGGGTAACACCGCGGGTCTCAGCTAGTCTATAATATGTATGTATTTAGAAATGCAAGTATGCCACGTATAGCCACGTATAGCCACGTATAGCCAGACCTCCTCCGTGCCATATGAACATTAGTGGCAATCGTTACGGGTAGTTGGAACCCTAACAATTCCGACAACAGTCTTTATACAGAACTTTGATATCGTCTAGGACTTGGGTTGTGGAGTCTGATGGTGGTCGCTCTGCTGCTGCGCTAAACAAATGCAATTGAAAGTCTAAAAGTTGACCTAAAATACCAGCCAGAGTAACATCAAGGTGTATAACCTTGCCCCGACCCCACTTAGATATGGAGAATGGTGGGGAGATTAGGATCTGATGGACTTCGCTAACGCCTAATAGATTATGATATCGATTTTGAGAAGAAAGGGCAAACAAACTCATGGCCACTCTTTTTAATTTACAGCTAGATTACAATAGCATCATTAAATATACCACAAGATTGTTTCAATATATGTCTGTTATTGAGAACAAAAAGTTAAAAAGACAATAAAGAGAAAACAAGATAAGAAAAAAGAAAGTAAAGTGAAACATATATACTTGTAATTACTCACCTTGTCTGCTGAGCAGTCGGGGCTGATGAGGCGGTTCAGCTCCTGTGTATCCACCGAAGCTGTGGCTCTTGGAGACGGCGCCGCGCCCGCGCCAGTTGGTGTTAGACGGGGCTCCGTTACCCTCCAGAGACTGGACCTGGAAAGTTAAATTTTATTAAGACAACTCCCAGACTAGGAATATATCCTGTGTCGCGGGGGAGTTTACAAACATTCATGAAATGGACACAAAGAACACCCAGATTCAGAACAACAGTTTGTGAATCACACAAAGTGTTGTTCCATATGGGGATCGAACCCACAACACTCAGCGGCGTGGTGATCGCTTAAACCACTACGCCATCAGTGCAGTTAAAGTATACGACGTTAAAACTTTCAAGAAAAGAGTGTACTCCTTCCTCAAAGGTTGGTAACGCGCTTGTGACTCCTGAGGTGCAGGTGTTCATGGGCGGCGGTAGTCGCTTTCCATCAGGTGACCCGTGTGTTCGTTTTCTCACTGTATCATAAAAAAATAACCGTTGCCAACATACCTTCAAGAGTTTATTCCTTCCTCCACCTTCGGGGGTAAGAAGCTTGACAGGACCTGACGTCAGCCACGGCCACTGAGCCTCTTCTTGCTGTAACACATTTAGAACCTGACGAGCTTCTAGAGAGAAAACGTATGGAGATCTGAGTTCACATTCTTAAACATCATCATCAACTTCTGACTCTTTTCCTAAATGGGGTCAGCGCAATGAGGTTTCTTCTTTCGCTGTCCTCTATCACTAGTCAGTTCACTGCTTTACTCCCCTTTCTAGCCATATCTTCTTTCACACAGTCCATCCATATTTTCTTTGGTCCTCCTCTACTCTTATATCCGTCTACTTCTATACTTCACTACATTTTGCAAATCTCTACACATCACAGTACCGTGTGGCGAAAAATACGGAGTGTCACCTCCCCTATTCATCCCGTGGATGTCGTAAGAGCCGACTAAGGGAGCAAACTACGAACTGCAGAGAGAAGGAAAACTTGACACAAACCTTATACCAACCCGTTTGGCCAGCGTGGTGTAGTAGGCCAAAACCTCCTTTCTAAGGAGAGGACTATGTCCAGCAGTGGACTATTCAAGAATGTCGTTTTAGTTTTCTCCCTTAGTCGGCTCTTACGACACCCACGGGATGAATAGAGGTGGTGACACTCCGTATTCTTAATCTGTCATTTGTTCAGCTACATGCAGCTCACATTCTTAAACAGCAATGGTAACTTGTTATGTACTTACAGAACTGAAGATTCTCCTCCTAACTCTCTCGTACTCCTTCTCCCGCTGTTCCAAAGATTTGCTTCTGTTCGAAGCAAGGGAGCCAGCGCCGGTTTCGTCCAAGGAGTTTGTGTCGCGTTTCAGTATAGACCTAAAGATAACACAGTTTTTGTCATCATTTACTTAAAATTTCATAATTAATATACTACTAATTAATTAATATTGTATATATATATATATATATAAAATCCACATTTTTTTTAAACAACTTCCGCAATGTAACGCACACAAAGAACACCCAGTAACGGGTGAGAAAAAGGTCCTTTAAAACTCTGAAACAAATATTTGCAGCTAATACAAACATTTGTTCCGGAATCGGACCCGAGACTTCAGCACAGCAGTCGCTTACGCTACCACTAGATCGATTATAACCCGGCAATCCCGAGATTCAGATTCTATATATAAGATATAGATATATAAGAATTGCTCGTTTAAAGGTATTAGATAAATTAGTACAATTGAAGCTTACTTAGCATGTTGGACATCAGACTGGTGACGTTGAGGGCTCGGAGGGAAGGTAGCTGTGCACCACTCCTTGAAGCTGGTGCAAGGTATACGGCCTCCACATGTACCTAAAACATTATATTTAATTAAGAAAGAAAGCAAACCATATTGACAACAACAATAATATAATCATTAAAAACCCCTGAGTAAGCCCAAACAAAAACTCAGCTTCGAAATAGGTCCATCCGTTCGGGAGCTATGATGCCACAAACAGACAGACAGATACACAGGTTAAACACAGGAATACGAGGGGTGTTATAACCCCTCATTTTCTGGGGGTTAAAAAAAGGTTGTATATGCACTCTAGGCACTAGGCAGTATGGGTACATGCCCAGGGCCCTTAGATCGATAGCCTCCCCCCCTCCCTAATTGTTGTTTATTGTATACGTTTAAAACATTACAAAAGACGAGACAACAAATATGTAGACGTAACAATCGGCGGTCTTATCTCTCACGGCGAGCTTATTCAAACAACCCGAAAACGGAAAAATCAATATTTATTACCGAAAACCATATTTATTTAAAAAAAAAAGCGATAATGACTGACTATAATTATTTTTGGACTCTTCTAAGAGAATAGTAATCAGTCAGTCAGTGTTCTGAGCTATAATTCAAGTTTTTTTTTTTCCACATCTCACACACGGCAGTCTGATCCCAAACTAGGCAGAGTCTGTACTATGGTAACCAGACTGCTGATAAACATACTTATATATTGCTAAATACATACATATTATAGATAAATTACACCCAAACACAGAACAAATGACCGTGCTCATCACACAATTATTTATCCTAGGTGGGAATCGAACCCACGACCTCTGGAGTAGCAGTCAGGGTCACTAACCACTAGACCAACAGGCCAGTCAAAAAAATATGTTCACAAGTTCGAAGATCATCACTTGTCTTCTAAAGGTTTAAGGCATTTTAAAGTTCATCCCACAATACGTACATAATGTTGTACGGAATGAAATATTATTGTCAACAGTTATAACTTACCACTTTTAGACACCAGTACACAAGTTTTGTTCGCCTGGTCGAGATGATGAGACAACTGGAACAGAGATGCGCAGCGATGGACCAGCATCCGACCGTACGATGTCATCACCGGGAATCTAACTATGCACCGTCTGTAAAGGTTGTATATTTTTATTTATTTATACATCTTTATTGTACACCGCTACAGTATATATTGTACAAACATGGATTTACATCTACATATTGGTATTGCAATAGCCGGTCTTATGGCTCACGGCGAACTCTTACAGACGACCTATACATGGATATTGTCAAATCTGATTTAGGGTAGTCTTCAGGGGCACCAGGGACTTCCTTTCTAGGGTATACCTGGTTCCCCGGTTATTAGTACCCGAGACGGCGTGCGGTTTTAGTCGGTTCGAGTCCGACATGCCACCGATAGGTGGTATCCGAGGGGGACGGAAAAAAAAAGGGTAGTCTTCAGAAAATTTGCTGGGTACTCCTGGTTCCCCGGTTACTGGAAACTGTACTATGGTAACCAGACTGCTAATAAACATACTTTTAGATTACTAAATACATATATATTGTAAATAAATTATACCCAACGTCAAAATAAAAGTATTATAAGGGCAGAGAATGTATATCAGAATGCATGGCTAACCATTACAACGTCGTTTTTTTTTAGGAATAAGAGGGCAAAAGAACGGGAGGGTCCCCAACACCAGTACAGAGACACTAGTGAGTTGCCGTCCATTCAGTCCTCCTTCCAGAACTAGGGGAAGAAGAGTTTTGGCACCGGCAGGGCCAGATTAGACATGTCGAGGAGGCCCTTAGGCAATGCATTCCTCAAGAGCCCTTTTTTTTGAAGATTCAGCTATTTGTATGCCGATGAAGGGTTGTGAGTAATAGCATCAGCAGCATGACCTGATTGATGCGTTACTCCTCAGGGACTAACAGCTAAAGCGGGGTCCCTAGGCTCCTGGGCACCGGTAGCCTCCCTTACTCGGTGAAAAACAAATTGCTTAATACCAGTTTTCTGTGATGCTGTGGTATACGTACCGAAACATGGCACTCCCAGTCTTTAAGCCGGGCAGACTGTCTGATCTTATCATTAATCAATTTTGTTTTTGTTAATATAATTATTTATACACACACAAAGATCACTGACTGATTTCTAAATATAATCCTTACTAGTTGCTAAGTATATTTGAAGAAATAGGTATAATGTAGAGATACTACACCACAAATAATTAAGGTTTCTATCAAGCTAGGCTCTCGTGGTTCTTCTCGTAGACCCCAGCTAGGGTCTCGGGGTGACATCTCCAGGTCTACGGCCTGCGGGTCACTGGGTCGGGCCCAGATGGGCCTGCTTGGTAGTTCCAGGTTGTCTTTCAGTTCAGTTCAGGTTCAGTCTAGTGGAGGGGGGGGGGGGGGCGCGTGCTTAACGAGGTCGAGCCCGTACCAGTCCCGCGGGTGACCAGCTTGCTAGCCACGCCCGGGCCTAGCCTAATGTCACCCCCTGAGCTTGGCTAGGTGAAGCTAGGTGCTCAGAGCACAAACGTAGTTTATATACAGTTAAGGAACTCCTTCTATTGCGCGATGTAGAATCAGTAGTTTTTATGTAGTTCGGCTGGTTTTCACTAGATGGCACTGTAGTAAGTTTTGATTGTATGCTGTCATAAATATCTACTTACCCAGTATCATTTACAAGAGAATGCAATTCCTTCTCGATCTTGAGTAACGCCATCCTGTCTCGAGGGTTCTTGTTCAGGGTGTCTTTTAAAAACGCCACCAGCTCGGGGCCGGTGGGTTCGTTTCTTTCATCTGAAGATAAACGAAAAAAAAAACTAGTAATTTTTATTAAAAAAAGAACTTTGGGTGTAGTGTTAGTTTATTTCACATCAAGTGACCTCGTTTTTTGATATGAAAATCAACCAACGCACTCACAATGCATGTGTGTGTGTGTGTGTACACACACACACGACATAGGAATTAAGGACATACCTTTGAAATGCCTGTCCTGTGTGTGTGTGTGTGTGGTGGCCGTGGTCAGCCACCACACACACACACACACACACACACACGTGCGCGCGCGCCAGTCAGCCAGACCACTGCCAGTGGAACCTGGTCGACAGGACAGGCATTTCAAAGGTATGTCCTTAAATCCTATCTTGAGCGCGTAAATATAAATATAAAAAAAAAGTGAAAAGACAACTCCCGCACTAGGAATATATCCTGTGTCGCGGGGGACTTTACAAACATACAGGAAACGTACTCAAAGAACACCCAGACTCAGAACAACAACTTGTGGATCACACAAAGTGTTATCCCGTGTGGGGATCGAACCCACAAAACTCAGATGCAGCACTCACAACAGCAGCAGGAAGCGAGTCGACCGCTTCAACCACTACGCCATCCGTGCAGTCGTAATTATAGATTATAAATGGTGATAGTTTTTTTGGGGGGTTCGTAGCTGCAGAGGGAAACGGTCTTGACAAGGAGCCGTCCTAAGTAACTGTCACCTTGAAATTCATCGGACTTGAATGAGCCTTAACTAGTATGATAATGATTACTAAACGACTTACTGAGAGAAAAATGCGCCTATAAACGGGATAATCCAATGAAAAATGGTGATAGTTTTGATGAGAAGCGTACATAATAAATAATAAAAGCAAAATAAAATAAAACCGATCAACATACATTTTTGATAATCACCTGAATCGTTTCTACTTAACATCATATTCTTTGGTCTCTCTTTGCGATCTGGACATCTGGAAAGTGAAAAAAAACCGGTCAGGTACGAGTGGAACTCGTGCGGCGAGGGTTCCATACCTACCCAGATTTTTTTTTCAGTTTTTTTTACGTGACAACGTCTTATAATTCGATGGAGCCGGCTGCACGCACGAAAAAACATGACTCATGCGGCGTTACCTCGCTCTTAGGCGTTCCATTTAAGGCGTGAAGTGCAAGCAAGAGCGCGGAACGAGTGACAAAGAGGCACAATCGGCCTCCGCGTTCGGCAGCGTTCGACATCTGTCTCTCTCCTACTTGAGTGAGCGATGCGTCTGCGTGGACAGCTGCTACTCGTATACAATAATACATTTTTGAAAAATGCAACCTTTCCATCAGTATTTTCTTATGACGTTGTCACGTTCAACTATCGTCAGTAAACCGACTTTACAGACAACCGATTTTTTTTCAGATTTTTACGTAGATTTTCGCGAATATTTGTAAGTACCAAAATGTATTTTAATGTTCAACTTTTTTTTTAAATTATTCCTTTATTTGTGCTGTAAGACGTTTCTTTTTGCCAAATTTCGTGATTCTAATTCAACGGGAAGTACCATATAGGTTTTCGAGCCAAAACCTATAGGGTACTTCCGGTTGACCTAGAATTGTCAATTTTGGTTAAAGCAAGGTCGAAATTCGAAAACAAACTAAATTTGCCCATATCTTTTTATCGTGTTGACTCAGGACCTTGATTTTTGTAAACCTTATAGGGACCATAGACCTAAATATCTGGTATAAATTTCAACTTGCTAGGTCTACCCGTTCCTGAGAAAATCGGTGGTGACACACGGACAGACGGACAAGAAAGTGATCTTATAAGGGTTCCTTTTTTACCTTTTAAGGTACGGAACCCTAAAAAAACATATATTAAGGGAGGTACGGACTAAACGAGGGATGATAATCATCATAATCAGCCTTTAGTAATTCACTGCTGGACATAGGCCTCTCCTTAGAAAGGAGGTTTTGGTCTACCACGCTGATCAAACTTGTTAGTATAGGGTTTGTTTCAAGTTTTCCTTCTCTTTGAAATTCTTTAGTCGGCTCTTGAATGGATAGAGTTGGTGACACTCCAAATTCTTAATCCATCACCACACGGACTAGGAAAAATAATGTCATGACAGTACCAGACAACTTACCTACAATAATACATTTGGTCGTCTACGTCCACACTGCAGGATTTTCTTACAACTTCATGATTGGGCCCGGCTGAAAATATCAATCTCTAATTATTGTATTTACTGCATTAAGTTGATAATAATAATAATAATAAACGCTTTGTGAAACAGGCATTCTTGGGGACTACCATTGGTCCTCAACAGTACATGTCATGTGTCACAGAGCGCATAGACTTTCTAAAGCAGAAAATTTATGCATGGGCAAATAGGATAAGACGGTACAAAAAACGAATAGATCGGTATAATCAGAATCGGATGTTCCAAAGAAATGAGAAGTGGGTGTACCGGAAATGGGAGGAACCAGATCCATGTGTGAGTCATGGGCATTTGCCAGATAAAAATGTCACACATACTTTTTGGCGGAACATCTGGTCGGTGCCTGTCACTCATATAGAAGGTGATTGGTTGCGGGATGTCAGACGCTCATGTGAGTCTATAACACCTATGGAACCAGTTATAATTGATAAAGATGATGTAAGCTGTGCAGTTCGTTCATTACCGAATTGGAAATCACCTGGTTTAGACGGACTGCACAACTTTTGACTTAAGTGGTTCCGAAGCTCACATGCGTGTTTGGCATCTCAATTCCAGGCAGCTTTAAATTCGGGTTCATTACCCCAATTTTTAACCACTGGTATAACCCACTTACTCTATAAGTCTGGTAGTGTCATGGATCCCAAAAATTTTAGACCTATTACATGTTTACCAACCATGTACAAACTTCTTACATCTATTCTGAGACTCAAAATTACTTTACACATTAATAATAATTCGATTATGTCAGTTTCTCAGAATGGATGTAGAAGTGGGAGCCGTGGCACTAAAGACCTCCTTATTATAGACAGGGCCATTAGCCAACAGGTGCGTCGTAATCGTAAGAGTTTGGCGACATGTTGGATAGACTATAAGAAGGCTTATGACTCGGTTCCACATACATGGCTTTTGAGGGTGCTGGAGTTGTATAAAATTGATACAACTCTGTGCACTTTCTTGAAGTCATGTATGGGGCAATGGAGAACAGCGCTTCGTTATCCAGGATGTCGGCAGACGACGGTAATTGATGCACCAATAAAGATCGAGCGGGGTATATTTCAAGGTGATAGTCTGAGTCACTTGTGGTTTTGCCTGGCTTTGAACCCTCTTAGCACTTTATTAGAGGGTTCAGGGCTAGGCTATAGGTTGCAGAAAGACGATCAAGTTATATCTCACCTTCTTTATATGGATGATTTGAAACTACTGGCCCCCACCAAATTACAATTGTCAGCGTTACTGAAGGTGACGGAAAACTTTAGTAATTCTATCAAAATGGAATTTGGTGTAGACAAGTGTGCAGTCATGTATGTAAAGAAGGGTGAGATAGTAGAATCTGAAGGAATAGAGCTTTCCGATTCAACAAAACTCAGATCTCTGTCTGCCACTGAAACTTACAAGTATTTGGGTATATCACAGTCGTTAGGCATACCAGAATCTGACATGAAACAAACGTTGCAGGAACGTTTTTTTGGCCGTTTGAAAAAAGTACTTAAAAGTCTTTTATCGGGGGGCAACAAGGTGCGAGCCTGCAATGGTTGGGTCATGCCGATTCTGATGTACTCCTTTGGTATACTTAAATGGACTCAGACCGAACTAGATGCCCTTGATAGGAGAGTCCGTACATTGCTGACTGCATTTCGAATGCACCACCCACGTTCATCGGTTATGAGATTGTATATCCCGCGAAAGCTAGGGGGTCGCGGATTATTAAATATCAAGACCCTACACAATCGGGAGATATGCAATTTCAGAGAGAATTTCAGAGAATATTTTCTACATACCGATGTGGGAATGCATCGCAATGTAGTTGCAGTGGATATCGGATTCACCCCGCTCGCTCTGGCTAAAGAGAATTGGCGCAAACCTGTAGTATTTAGTACTAATGATCGTAGGGAAGTATGGAAGGGCAAAGAGCTCCATGGCCGGTTTTATCGGGCCCTAAACGGGTCCGATATAGACTTTAAAGCATCTACGACTTGGCTACGGTATGGTGATCTCTTCGGAGAAACTGAAGGTTTTGTTTGTGCGATTATGGACGAAGTTATCATGACGAATAACTATCGGAAATATATCCTGAAAGATGGTACGGTTGACATCTGTCGGGCATGTCACCGTCCTGGGGAATCAATCAGGCATATCATTTCTGGTTGTTCTCGTCTTGCTAACGGTGAATATTTGCATAGGCACAACCAAGTAGCCAGGATTGTACACCAACAGCTTGCCCTTAAATACCATCTTGTGAATCTAGAGGTGCCATACTACAGGTATGTGCCCGACCCAGTTCTCGAGAATGGTCGGGCCACGTTGTATTGGGATCGATCTATTATCACAGACAGGACTATTGTTGCTAATAAGCCTGATATTGTAGTGATAGATCGATTAGAGCGCCGCGCAATTATTGTTGATATCGCCGTTCCTCATGACGAGAATCTCGTGAAAGTTGAAAAAGAAAAACAAATAAAATATTTGGATTTATCTTACGAGATTGTCGATATGTGGAATGTCGATTCAGTGATAATTGTTCCGATAGTCGTATCTGCTCACGGATTGATAGCCAAGAGCCTCGACCAACACCTTAAGAGGCTCACGTTGGACGGCTGGATCAAGGGTCTGATACAGAAGGCAGTCCTCCTTGACACGGCTCGTATAGTGAGGAGGTTCCTATCTTTGCAGTCCTAACCACTGGTGTCTTGGTACCTGTACCCGATGTCGGTGGTCTACTATTTTTTATATTTTTAAATATATTTTTATTTCTTTTGAAATGTAATTAATATGTATATATAATTTAATAAAGAGAATAATAATAATATTCTACCACATACACACAACGCCATCTAGTCCCAAACTAAGCAGAGCTTGTACTATAGGTACTAGACAACTGATATAAATACATATATACTTGTAAATACATACATATTATACATAGAAACACCCAGACCAAATCAAACATCAAATGTTCATGCACACAAATGTTTGACTTGAGCGGGAATCGAACCCGCGACCTTTGGAATAGCAGTCCGTTACACAAACCACTACGCCATCCGGTCGTCGATCGGTGATAAATCTTATTTTATTTTATTACTAGTTGGTGCCAGGGACTTCGTTCGCGTGCAATTAGAAAATTGCTGCCTTAGTGGTGAAGCACGGTACGCGCCTGCAGGCTATGAGACATCGGGTTCGATTTGAAATTTTTTTTGGGTATTTCTGAGACGAAAAATAGCCTAAGTTACTCCTTATATAGACAGCTACTTGGTAGTAAAATATTATCAAAATCGGTCCAACCGTTTTGAAGACTACCCGAAACAAACAGACAGACAGAAAAAAAATATTTAAATTGTTTTTTAGGCATAGGTATCGTGCAAATAACCGTGTGAGCATGGAAAAATCCATTTAATTTGACATTACAAACCGACACTTCAATTTATTTCTTTGTGTAGATTTGAAATAGCCCAATTTTTTAAAATACAATTACAATAATATACTGTAACATAACGTAGTATCGTAGGCAGCTAAATTAGATAGAATAAATGTAGCGGATATCCGCATAATTATGACACGCTAACAGCCTAATAAAACTTCTTGTGTCATTCGTGCTTGGGTCACCAAGTACTTTCTACTACTTACTTGATAAACTTGAGCGTCTCCAAAATTTTTGCATACGATTCATATTTGAACTTCGCAAATATGATCATGTTTCCCACTACCGTAAAAAGCTCAGGTGGCTTCCGATCCACCTTCGCCGGAATACTCATATCCTTACGCTTCTGTATAATATACTGTTTAATCCACTTCAAGCGGATCCACCACAATCCGGAACTTCAAGCGTTCTTTGAGGTAAATAGGAGTTCTATTTACCTCAAAGAACGCTTGAAGTTCCTTCATGACACACATATGAAATGTATGAGGTCCTCTGAAAGCCAAGGCAAGGCATTCTACCAATTTCTACACAAAGTCATTTTCCGTAGAAGCTGTACGTTTATGGAATGCATTGCCGGTTACTATCAGACGTGCGCAATCTGTAACCACCTTCAAGACTATGCTATATGAGCATTATCTGTCTCTCATAGTTGAAAATTAGAGTATTTATATATTAACGTATGTATGTATAGTATTTATGTATAAAAAATATTATAGGTTAAGACCTTATTTACTTCTCTAATTCATGAATACCTATCACCATTTCAAAATGAATCCATCCAAAGGTTGCCTGGAAGAAATTGCACTAAGCGATAAGGCCGCCCTTTGTACATTACATCGGTCGTTAATTACTGTATAATGTCTGTAAAACATTGGTGTACAAATAAAGTATTTATCTATCTATCTATCTATCTTTCTAAACAAATTACCTGTCTCAATATCTGAGCAGTCGGGACAGTCGTCGGAGCACACGATCCCTGAGTCTTGCTTCGTGGGACACGCGTGCCGACGTCGACGACCCCTGTATCAAATGAAATTTTTTGTTGAAAACATAGTTACGCTTTCAGGTTGTGTAATTTAATTAAATATTATAAAAAAATGCTATAAAAAATTTGTATATACCGAAGGACCAAAAATTATTATTCGAATTATAGAAGTTCATGGTCCTTCGAGCCCAAGTTTTGGCAGATTTTTGGCGAAGTACGAGATTTGGAAATGCAAAAACCTTTGTTTATAACTACAGCGATGTACGAAAGACATGTAGAGGTGTTGCCAGAATTTACATAAAATAGATTTTCGTTGGAATTTTTACGAGAACTGAAACAAAATTAGAGAATTAACATCTACCGTCATTTTTACTTTCTCAAAAACAGAAAAGTTTTGTTTGACAATACACCAAAATTCAAATTAATTATCAATTAAACCAATCATCTCATTGCCCTTTTCCCAAATTTATTTAGGGTTGGCGCAATGAGTTAAATTGGACAACTTAACCAATCATAATTATTTTTATAATCAGGACTCAGTTCGTCAGTAATGAAGTTAGTTGCCTCTCCCACCAATAGATGAGACCTTATGAAGAATAGACTTAAGAATAGACCTTATGAAGCAGACCTTTCTATGGGTTCCAAAGCCATCAAAGAACTTCGGAGATGTTCACTGACCTGCAATTGGGACAAGCACAAGCACCGCAGACACAAGCCACACGTGGATTGTTCGACAGCAGATCTCGTGGTGCGTCAGACAGCCAGCGACGAGCTCGCTGACGCTGCTCGCAGTGTGTCTCGTCCCAACCACCAGAGGTTATCTGCCATAGGAGGGAAAGGATTATCTATACTAATATAATAATAACGCTGATCTCAGGTTTTAAGTAAAAACTTGACTTTTAAAGTATACGCACGGCCGTCTCATCCCGAACTAGGCAGAGCCTGTGCCATGATAACCAGACTGCTGATAAACATACTTATATACATTTCTAAATACATATATGTATTATATATAAATTACACCAAGACACAGAGCAAATGACCGTGCTCATTACATAATTATTTGTCCTGGGTGGGAATCGAAACCTTGCCCAGGATCTCTAACCACTAGACCAACAGGCCAGTCAAAATCTCGTCAGACAAAAATAGCCAGTTTGAGTTACGTATTAGGTATGCAACCCGGACCTGCTTGTGTCATTGCTCACATCCGAATATGCAAAGTCCCTCTCCCACTATCACCATATAATTCCCAAAGTGCTCTAGAGACGGTAATCATAGTTGGTATTACGCCATCAGTCCCAGTCTATCGTAGGAGCAAAAACAGCTGAATATCCAGGAAATAAAAAAAAATAATCTTGTCTAAAATTACCTGAATCTCAACTGGCAATTTCTTCTTTAACTCGTCACTACATCTATGACTAGAGTCTTCACTATTAGTTTCACCCCCTACGGTGGAGGGGGCGTGTGGCGAAGGGGAGATTGCGCGAGGAGGGGAGGCAGTTTCCCGTATCGCCTGGCTTCGGACTAGCTGTTTCGATTTGAAGCTCTGAGAAGAAGATAATTTTCTCATTAATATTTATTGATATAAGATTACCACACTCACTTAGTAGATAATACTCTCGCGTCCAGGGTGTGACATATGTATTTAGAAATGCGGTATAACACTAAGCACTCACACTATGGTCCCGTATATTTATCTTTGCGTAAAAGACTCCATGCGATCTTTATGAAAAATTTAGGTGCTTTTTTTAAAACAGATCATAATCAAAGATATCTTATTAGTTATTCTCGGCGATCTCTTGAAAGTAATTGAAAACTGAAAAAACTAGGGAGGGTGTCCCTAGTTTTTTCCAGATAAATATAGTCCTGGACCTTTCAAGAGTAGACTGAATAATTTTCTTCTGGATAAACGTATTCCATCTTCCAAATTCGTCACATTTCATCAGGCGAGAGATAACAAAATACTTACTCAAAATTATTTATAAAAAGCCTAACTGTTAAGCACAAGACTTCATCTTCTGGCATTATTATATACAGCCTCTAAAAGTTCAGAGCTGGACTTAAGCCTCTCTAAGGAGAGGCTTCTAAGGAAAGGAGCTTTTAGCCTACTATACCAACCTGACGGGTAGGTATAGGGTTTGTTTCAAGTTTTCCTTCTGTAGTAAAGCTAAAACTTCAGACTCCATTTGAATCCGTTAACTTATACACACATACAATTGGCTCTGAGGATCAGAATGGTACCAACTCGATTCCCCTTCTCTGTTCATCTTCTCATTACGACAAAGACCTAGAAGTATTTCAATGGATAGAGTTGAAAACTTACCCTGTTCCTGGTCAACTGACTGTTATTCTCCTCGGGGCTGGTATTCTTTTCAACCTCTGCGTTCTCCATTGCTTATGATATTACACTGGAATTATAAACGAATCTATTAGAAGGAATGTCCCTACAATAGTAATTACAAAAGAGGAATTCTATTATCATTATTTAGCAATGATAAGTTCGTGGCTTTAATATGAATCATCCTGAATCACGCTTCAGAAATTTGGTTAGCATATTAATTAATTATTCTATTACATGTTCAAAAGATGGAAGGCATATTATAAGAAGCTGAAGTATTAACTTTATATATCATCATGATAAGCATGAGGCTCGGAACCGCTCCAGATGGAGACCTGCTGTGGACGCCCTCTGCCCCATCCATTCATGGGCACCTACAACTCAAAGAGTCACAAGTGCTTTGCCATTCTTTCAATACCCTCTTTCCTCATTATCAGGGGGATTGATATTTGTTACTCAAACACGCCAGTTTCATTAAACCGATATTCTGGAGTAGCACATGTACATTAAAGCAAACGGAGCTATAAGAAGAGGCTTCACATCAACTGCCTTTAATAGTCCACTGCTGGACATAGGCTTCTCCTTAGAAAGGAGGTTATGGCCTATTATACCACGCTGGCCAGACAGGTTGGTATAGGGTTTTTGTCAAGTTTTCCTTCTCTTTGCAGTGCTGTTATCCTGCGTAGTTTGCTTCCCGAGTGAGTATATTCCATAAATGAGTTAGATTATTCCAATGTACAGGTGTTACGGACTCCGTAAATAACTTAAGCCGCTAACATTTTTTCTTGTTTAAAGTCTTGTTATTTACATAATTAATATATCCCATCACCCTTCGGCGGCCATCGAAACCGATTGTTCGTAATCAGTTGAGAAGGAGGAAAAATGATCTTTGTACGAAACCAAGCCACCGTCTGGCCAGTGTGATATAGTAGGCCAAAACCTCCTTTCTAAGGTGAGGCCTATGTCCAGTAGTGGACTGATAAAGGCTGACGATGATGATGAACTCATTTGTACAAATATTTGAGTTTGATGTCACCAATCCTTTTACAAACTAATCATTAGAATGTTTTTTCCTCGTTTTTGTTATTCCGTACTATTAATTACAATAAATTTTATATAAATAATATATTTTGCCTCCACCCGCGTGTATGTCGGTTATTGTGGTAAAAAATAGCCATGTTACTCGCCGATAATGTAGCTTTCCTTTGGTGAAAGAATTTTTTAAATCAGCAGTGGTTTAGGCGTATCAAATAGACAAAGTGAGCTGGCCATATTAGCCGCAAAACCGACAACCGTTGGAAAAACGAGTTCTTGAGTGGATACCGTGTCTCGGCAAACGTAGTGTAGGGCCAGCCCACAGGCCAGGTAACGATTTGCGCAAGATGGATGGCAGGAGCTGGATGTGAGAAGCCCAAAATCGATTTAAGTGGCGTGCAATGGGAGAGGCCTATGCCCGGCAGTGGACTGCGATAGGCTGATGATGATGAAATAGACAAACAAACTCAGTTTCAAATTTTTAATATAAGTATGGATACTAACCTTGAATTACTCACTCGATAAAATGACACCTCTAAAACACAGGTATTTTATACAAATACAAGGGAGAAATTTATTACTTATCTAGTATAAGATATTGGACCAACACAGTGTCTACTCTAATTAGAAGGCAACTATTTTTTATTAATTTTTAATACTACGTCCATTAAAGCCTCGTTAGTCAAAAACTCCTGTTTGAAATAACCGATTTTCGCGCTCAAGTTGGTAACTATATAGAACACAATATTCTGATGTTGGTAAGCTCGTTTTTCTTTTTAATTTTTAGTTTTTTATCGGGTTTTGTTGTTTGCGCTCGTGGACGGTGAATGACGGAGTGCATTTTTTTTTTAATTCTTTATTGCAATATGGCGGAAAGTTTGGGGCGAGAGTGGAAAGTTCGAGGTGACCGGTTTACATTAACAGGCGCCATCCATCTGTAACAAAGAAAATATTTCTATTAAGTTTGTCTCATTTTATAGAAATCAACAGCCTATACTAGTCCACTGCTGGACATAGGCCTCTCCTTAGAAAGGAGGTTTTGGCCTACTATACCACGCTGGCCAGACGGGTTGGTATAGGGTTTGTTTTAAGTTTTCCTTCTCTTTGCAGTGCTGTTGTCCTGCTTAGTTTTATAGAAAGGCACAAACTAAACGCAATTCCTTTCTAAGGAGAGGCCTATGTCCAGCAGTGGACTGTAATAGGCTGTTGACGATGATGATGAAACACAATTTTATCATATATTTATTATTTTCAATGTTCTTTCCTGTCAATAAAGTAGATATACCTGTCAATTAAGTAATTAAGGGTGCTATTTTTTTTTTTTCAATATGAGGCACTTCAGAACGTATCCCAAACTAGACTTATCACATTTAACTTTATATTTATTTCTTTATTTATTTGGACAACCAACAAGAACATACACCTTAAAATCAAGAGATACAATGACAGTGATATACAACCATTAGTGCTGCCTTAATTACAGGTTGCCACGGAAAGCATAGTAATAACAGAGAGTTGGGATAAAGCTTCCCCTAACTTAAAAAAGAAGAGAAAAAAGAAAGACCTGAACAGACACTTTCTTACAGAATAACTACTTAAAAAATCTACAACATAAAACAAACGAAGGTCCTTATACATAAAATATATCTCAGCTTAACAACAATAGTTTCTTTTTAAAAGAAGGTAAACTTAATCTAAACACATCGATATCCTTATTTTTATTTATATAAAGGTACCAAGAGACCAGTGGTTGGGCTCCAAGTACAAGATTCCATAAATCACACATGTGACAAGAGGCAAGAGGTATCCTGTTTCGTGACGTCACATTTCAAAAACCTAATATATCAAGTAAAAATTTGCATTATTAAGCAGTAAATTTCAAAATAATGCTTAGTTGAACTCCTTGTTTGATTAAATAATTTCTAGATATATAATTGCAGGGCCGCCGCCGCGATTGAGGGGGGGAAGTCAATTCTACTCAAGCCTGATTAGGCGTGGTTTCGATTCGAGGAGGACCTGAAATCACATGGTCCGAGTCCTCCCAAAGTAGGGCGTCTGAAGACAGTCATCGGGGTGGTTTTTAGTGACATCGCCACATCCTTGCTCCCTGAGTCCCCAAGTAGCAGGAGATCCGAAGAAAATTCCCACGCCGTCAAAAAAAATATATATATACCTAAAATTGAAAATAATATGAGACGTCACACTTGGGAAAGGAGAGTCTCACAAATATGACCAGCTGTGACAAGGACCCCCGTCCTTGTCACAGCTGGTCATATTTGACGGTAAAAAAATCATAAATTTCGTGTGACATAACATGGCCCGATGCGGGTTGTGTCTAAGAGAACTTCCTTATGCTCCAGTTCGTATAACGCAGGCATCTTAATGCAGTACTGGAGACACTTGGCCATAACTAATAATGATTTATTATTATCCACTTGGTATTGGATCAATAAACCACCTTGAAACTGCTACGGCCCTGCCCAAACCAACACGCCCTATACAGACTATGACTCCGGGGTGAGTCATAAGACGCAGTCTGAACTTGCAAGGGCATTGGGTCAAGGCTCTTTTACAATAATACGCGTCTCCATTGTTATGCGGCGACGTCTTACACAAATAACAATTAATATTCTACAATATCGGACAATACAATACAGGATTTTCATCCAGTCTACCTTTGGGTGGGGAAATGTCTGAGTTAGGTGCACTAGAAATTAAGTTTTTTGCTTTGCCTTTGCCAGCAATACTTGCAGAGTGTATTAACTAATGAATCTATATGTTTTTATCAAGGTCGTAAGGTTACTGAAGGTCTCCTGAATCTGTTGGGAGGGGTTTTAGACTCCGGTCCTCTAATTCTAAAAAGGGTAGACAGAGAAGCAATCAAAAGCCATCGACGTACTTGTGATTACTGTTTTTGGTATAAGGGGTCAACAAGCAGTCGGGGCACCTGATGGCAATTGATCACTGATGCCCATGGACACCTGCAACTCAAGAGTCAGTCCATTCCCCTAAAATCAGGGGGCTCCCGTTATGTCACTCACTCGGTGAAGAGAAAAAATAACTGGTTAACACCGGTTTTCTGTGAGGCTGTTGCAAGGGTTCACGGGCAGAGTAAATCACTTATCATCAGTGATCAGTCTTCTTGTGTAACCCCAATACCATTAAAACAAATGTGTTCATTTATCAAAACTTACTTTCTAAGGAGAGGTCTCTGTCCAGCAGTGGACTGTTAAAAGCTGTTGTTGTGTTACTGTTTGTGTGAAACCTGGTAAAAAGGCGGATTGGATGGAAAGGCAAGAAAGGTTCATGCCTTAGGTGTTTTCCAGCCTGTATAACGAAATAGGGCAACGGCATTCGTTTTTTCTACAATCTCGTGTCGTATAACAATGGAACCGCACATGAGATGGTTCGATAAACCCGAATGATTGCCGTTTCGTTAGGGCTTACATAAGTAACGATAAGCGAAAGGTGTTGATATTCCCACGTATGTAGGTAGGTATTTACAGCAATATACAGAGCTGCTGGCAAATTTAACACTTTACAAAATAAAATATCTATTAAGATTTGAATACATTCAAATTATTTACTAGCTAACGCCCGCGGTTTCGCTCACATGATTATTTACTAATGAAAAAGTGAAATTTGAAAAGCGTTGGGTTGCCTTACTGGGTTCGATTCCCGGACCGGGCAAAAATTTTAAAGGCAAAGGTTTTTCTGAGAGGAAAAATAGCCTAAGTTACTCATTATATGGACAGTTACCTGATAATGCAATATTATCAAAATCCTTCCAGCCATTTAGAATATTACCCGGCACAAACAGACAGAGATACAAAAAAAAACTGGTTTTGGCATAGGTATCGTGCAAAACTATTATTTTGACATTACAAATAGACACTCAAATTCAGTGGGTGCTTACAGCATAAAAAGCATCAACGGTCAACATTTCAAGTTTGCAGCCCCCTCGTTTTAGGCTCTGCGTTATTCTAAGGAGAGGCCTATGTCCAGCAGTGGACTATTAA